ATCAAGAAGCCCAGTTATATTGAAATTGGCATAATCTATTAAAAATAAACTTTTTGCAACTAAAAGAACCCAATAATTATGCTACTATTTTATGTAAAGTATATGATTTAAAAATACCTCATGCATTACTCGATACAGGTTCAGATAGGTCACATATTTCTGAAAATATTGCAAACCATTTTATAAAATATTTTGGATTAAAAATAGATAGAAAAAAGGTTTATAGACTAACAGATGCTGTAGGTAAAAAACAATCTATTGAAAGCTTTTCTGATATACCTGTTACTATAAATATTGAAAATGATACTTTAACAATTTCGGATGAGTTTTTAGTTTTATTAACAGAAAAAGATAATAATAGTAATAATATATCATTATTTATTCTTGGTACTAGATGGCAATATCGAGCTGGCTGGGAACCTATAGTAAAGGGTGAGTTTATAGCATCAGTTAATAGAAAAAGTATTACTATTCTACTTTCTGTTTATAATAAAAATGAAACCAAAAAAATAATTAGTGGTCTTAGACCTTGTATTCCATGCAATATATTACAAGTTCGAGATATTTCTATATTGGAAAAATGTATGAATCACTTTTTCCAGGATATATTAGAATATGATTTACTATCTTTTTCTTCTAATAAATAAAATTATATATAGTACCATCTCAGATTAATTTTTTTAATATAAGTTCGAATAATTTTGTACTCCAATTAGCCATATCTATTTTAATTTAATTGCATTCTATATCTTTTTGTTGCTTAATAGTTTTAAAGTTTTCTTAGTAAATTTAATTAATTCTTGACATAAATTATCTGTAGCTTCTTTGATTCTAGCATTAACCTCTTCTTTAGAGTATTGTGGAGCAATAACTTCTTGAATCTTAATTACTTAGATATTAGTATTACAAAGCAAGCTATTAAAGAATGAATCGAAGATTCGAGACTCTGTCTTTTCTCTGAATCCTGTTTCTTCAGGTCTTGAAACTAGTGCTTTTATTGTAGAACAAGGATGCTCTGCATCTTTAGGATTATATCGAGATTTTTTTTTCTTTGATATCTATCAACTTCATATTTTAAAAATGCCTCTATAATAGGGCTAATACTACTGGCTTCACTTTCTGATAATAGATTTTTTTTTGAATTGTAAGCTGATTCTATCTAGCTTTTATTAATGAAGGTGGTAGTTGAGTAAGAAGATTTGAATAGTTTTCATGAAAAGCCATATAATATCATGAAATATATTTTCATGTAAAATTATAATCTTTCAAAAATATCGATATTTATTTATTATAAAATTTTTCTAAAATTTTACAAAATATTATAACAGAATACCAATTCTATTTTGATAACAGTTACTGACTTTATATATTAATATTTTTATAAAAATATAACCTTGAGTGGCTAACAAATATTAATATTCACATGTATAACAATAAATCATACCTATAAGTTAACCAAATTTTAATTCAAAGTCACATACTATATTATACAAGATACAATATAGAGCACAGTAGCCACATGACATTGTGACCTATGAGGTTACGTACTACATTATACAAGGCACAGTAGTCACATGACATTGTGATCTGTGGATTACGTACTACTATCTCTAATTAATAATAATTAATATTTATATTTGAAAAAATATTAACTATATAATTTATAACTCTGTAAAGCTTTGCATCCTATCTATTACTAGTTTAGCTTATGTGAGTATTCTAGATATGTGGGATACACATTCATTTTGATACTTCTTTAAGAACCTAATACTTAAAGCTCTTTTTTCAGCCAACTCTGGAGATATTTTATTTGATATAAAATGTTTATATGCTTGTATATGCCAATAATAATATGGCAAACTAGTTATTTTATCAGATAATATCTAATGCTTAGTATCTATAGACAAAGAGCCTTCTTTTCTGATTCGACCAAAGATAATATATGGTCTTTTGATCGAATATCTATATTTTTAGTATAGAATACTTCATTACCAAAAAGACAGTCTCGATATACTAAAGTCATAGGATCTGTCTCAGTTCGCATAGTTAAATTCTTGACTTCTTTCTCTAATAATAATGATCTATTTACTAGATCATCTAATAAAGTCTCTTCTAAATCAAACATATATAAATTCGTGGCTATTTCACTCATACCCTTTTTGCTAACTCCCTTATACTTAGACTTTGTAGACTTATCTGCCAAAATATAGTGATAAGACTTGGCTCG